ATTTTGAATAGATTAACGGATACGAAGGCGTGTTCATGGTTATTAAACATATAAATAAGAGTAAATATGATTAACCCGTATAATTAAGCGCATTTTCTCCTGATTAACATTCTTCCACTTTGTTCTGGGCGTTTCCTCAAAGAGTTTTGATTTATAACTTCGTTTGTTTTCGTAACTCTTGTCAAGTTTATTGTTTGTTATATATGGCAGGTTTTTTCTAGTAAAGTCGTTTATGCACCAATATATACTTTTCTTTCTAATTATTAGGTGTTAAATTTTCTTCTTCTTCTTCTTAAAGAGGGTATAAGAGGGGGAGGGGGAGGGGGGGGGAGGGGGGAAGGGTGGGTTTTTTTTTTTCGATATTTTTTTTTTTTTTTTTTTTTTAAAATTAATTTAATTTTTTTTTTAAATTCCCGAAAAAGATTTTTGTGGGGGGATTATTTTTAAAAAAAATTTTTTTTCTCCTTTTTCCCCCTCGCCTCGGGCCCCCCTATTTTTTTTTAAAAAAAAAAAAAAAAAAAAAAAAAAAAACGAAAAATGTTTATTTATTTGTTCGTGTGTCGAACGGTTGCGGTTGTACGAACGTCTAATAAAAATAAAATTATTGATCATTTAAATAACAAAAACAAATTTTTTTTTTATTCTTACTCTTAGTCTTTCATTAGATTTTAATTTAATAATATCTTAGGTATCATTTATTAATTTTCAAGCCGACTAGCGACTGGTTGTTGATTTAAAAAAAAAAAAAAAAAAACCACATTTTTTGTTATTTATTCGATGACGTTCGATTTTCTTTATAAAAAAAACGTTTATTCACGTGATATATTTATGTATTTTATTTTTTTAAATGATTTTGATGAATCACGTAAACTTTACGTACTTTATATAAAAGGTCGCATCGAAATTTATTTTATAAATTTTAAATTGACAAATTAAAAATTTTTAACGCGCGCACTAATGTCCGTTTTAAAAAATTAAAAAAATAGAATGAAAATCAATCTTTTCCCGTTTTATTATATATATTTATAGTAGTATTTAAAATAATATCTTTATAATAAAACAAAAAAAAAAAAGAAATTTTTATTCATTATTATTCCACGATTTTTGATGATATTTGATGTGCATTATTGAATTCATAAAAATAAAAAATAAAAAAATTTTTTTATTATTGGGGAAGAGCCAGAAACATCAGGGGTATGTAATCTCACACATTTTATGTTTTTTTTTTTTTTTTTAAAAAGAAAATTTATTTTGTTTACTTTACTCTGCAACAAAAAAAACGCCCAAACAACAATAATCAAATGAAAAAATGAATGCCTGAAAAAAAAAAAAAGTTAAAATTTTCATTGAATATTATTTCAAATGGATTTATTACCAACGTTTTTTCTTTTATGACCTTTCACTGATTTAAATAATCCTTATCACGTTTGATTCACCTGAAATGATTGAAAAAATAAAAAATTTATTCCAATTGTAGTCATTATATAGAGTAGGATTAATAATTTTCTCTTTATAAAAAAAAATGTTTAATTTTTCCTCATTCCTTACCTCACTACCTACTCCTTTCTTCCACATGTGTTTTTTTTTTTTTTATTGAAAATTTTCAAAGGTGTAATTAATAATAATAATAATAATAATAATGCATAATGGGTTATTTGAATGCATTTACCCACGTAATAAACGTTGATTTTAATTGTCCTCTCAGGTGAAATATATTTACATTAAAAAATAATTTTCAATGTTTTTTTTTTTTTTTTTTTTTCGTTTGACATCATGACTGAATCTAAAGAAATTTAACAAGTAACGAAAAAGCGAAAAAAAAAATAAATAAATAAATAAATAATTGGCCAATTATTTTTATATATATATATATACGTATATGTGTGCGAGTGCGTGCGTGTGTGTATATACATTCTTATTAAATTTTTGAAGGTAAGGTAATAAATAAAAGGATAACATTTAAATAAAAGCTGCCAGCAACACGAACTGATTACATGCTTTATGAATTAAATGGTACCGCTTTTTCATGTTTACTGAAGGCAAGAAGAAGCACATTAATGCTGAAAACCATGTCCGTCCCGAATACCGAGTGTGTGTGTGTGTGAGAAAGAGACGAAAGGAGTGTTATAGAAACATGTTCGGAAACATGTTGACAATCATATAATAAATAAACAAACACGTTTTAAACGTCCAAACTGCTAATTATAACTCATTTCTAACGTTAAAACGCTCATACAACTCGTAAATATGCGCAGCACTGTCGTGACCGTTTGAAATTCCCATTATTAATGCTCGTTAAATTGTTTAATGCTATATTATAACGAGATTTTTTTTTTTTTTTTTGGAAATACAGACTGCGTTCTAGCCCGGAGAACTATTCTTCTCCTTTTTCTTCTTCTTGTTTTTATGTAATTGAATGAAAAATAAATTTTGTCGACGAGTGAACACAGAAATAATAATATGAATCAAATTAGCATTCTACCGTAGTTGACGTAGTTTAACAAAAAAAGAATAAAATTATTATCCGAAAAAAAAAAAAGACAAAAAATATTTAAACCTGGATAAATTTGAATAGTTGATTGGGTTTTTTTTTTTTTTTCTCAAATTTGGATTTTCTGAAAATTTTGCAAACGCACGCGCGCATATGTTTATTTTCACTCGGCATTCGATGCCATTTTCTTCATTTAGTCTCACGTGAATTTTCTCGTTATTTTATTATTACCTTTTTTTCGCCCCCCCCCCCCCCCGGCCTCTCTGTCTCTCTCTCTCTTTCTCTCTTTTTAAAATTACAGTCATTGATCATTTTATTTTTGACCATCAATTTTCTGGTTGAAAATTTTCTGATCAATTTTTATAATGATCAATTATTTTATATCGATATCAGTTTTTTTTTTTTTTCACGATTACTTATTCGCATTGAATAAATCGTAAAAATGTAACGGAAAACGTTTCTTGCATTAAATTTACGCGCAAAATAAAAAAATAATAATTATTATTATTTATTTATTTTTTCAAATACGGTGGCAACTTAAATTAAATTTAGAAGAAAAAGAATAGTTATTAACGGGTCGCCGCCGTAAAATAGGAGACAAGGGGAAAAATTCTACTAAACAATTTGAAAATAATAAAACCTAAAGAGAAAGAGAGAGAGAGAGAGAGAGAAAACAAAAATTAAAAGTTTCATTTTATTCGATGGTTTTTGTTAAAAAAAAGAGTTTCGCTTTCCAGTTAACCTCACCCGTTCGAATGGTTGAACTTGGTAAACATAAAACATAAAAAAGTAAAAAGAAAGAAAAAAGTATATAATTTGACTTTGGGATTTGATTGAGGGAACCCTGTTGTTGATGTTGTTGTTGTTGTTCAATTTATCATTTGTCTCGTTAATTATGGTTTAACATCATCCGTCAGTAACTCTAACATGATTCAGAAAAAGATTACTACACTTTTCGTATTTGAATTTTTATTTAATTAATTGATCGTGATTTCGATCGTGAATTATTATTATTATTATTTTTTTTTTTTTCACGACGTGTTCAACGTATTTATTTACCGATTTCTTTTCCTTTTTTTTTTTTTATGGAACTTTAGTATAATTTTTGTGTAATTAAAAAGATTCATCAGTTTTTATTTATGTAAAAAAAAAAAAAATATTTTTTAATTATTATTTTTATTGTTTTTGAATAATAAAAAAAAAAAAAAAATTAAAAACGTTTATTGGAGGCATCGGATCCCTGAAGAAGGTTAATAATTACCTTGTAATAATAATAATTATTTAACAACAAAAACAACAACAAGAGTTTCGTGAGTAGGTGCGTGTCGCGTAATGTCTCTCGTTTAAATCCGTTCGTTTTAATTCTTCCGATCGTCCGTCCGTCCGTCCGTCCGCCCATAGAAAAAAACAGAAAAGTCTAGAAATATTTTCCGTATTTGCGTGTATTATTATTATTATTTTTTTTTTATCACGATAACTCGTCATGTGATTGTCGGAGTTTTCCCCTCTCATTTATTCCAGGCCTACCACTACCCGATCCTTTTTAGAATAAATGTCGGAAAACCAGGGATGTTACGTGCTTAAATAGGCTAACACCACCTATTCCTTCCTCTGAGTCCATCTTATTCTACGGAAACGAGTATATATCTCTTGGATCGGGCTCGTCCGGTGACAACAGGATCTATGAAGTAACCAGGATCAATACGAAGTCGATAAAAGAACAAGAGAATTTTTCTAGTTCCGTCTTTTTTTTTTTTTTTTTTTTTTTTTTTGTTCTTAGTAAAATCAAAGGCGCGAGATGGTCTCAAGCGGCGGTCGCCCATCCAAATACTAATCGAGCTTGATGCTGCAATATACGATACGATGGTTAAATTTTTTATTATTATTATTATCATCATAATCGTCATATAATATTCCTTTGTTTGTTACGCACAACCTACCAACAGATGAATGGTAATAACATTTGAGAAAGTAGAGGAGAAAGAGGAGCGAAAAAAGAAAAAAAAAAGTGCGAGGGAGGCCGGTGATGGGTGGCGAGTGGTTTACATAAAGAAAAAAGGAAAACAGATTTTTTTTTTTTTTTTTTTTCATTTTAGTAAGAATTTGTACAGTTTATTTAAAAATAAAACGAATTTGAACATGAGCTTTTTTGCTTCTTCTTTTTCTTTTTTTTTTTTTTTTTTTTTTTAGTTATTGCGGTGTGTTTGTGTGTGGGGAGAGGGGAGGGGCTATTTAATATTTTTGTACATGTAAAGTCGTTTTTGTTTTTAAATAATAATAATAATAATAATAATAATAGTAAGTCACGTGGAAAAATTAAATCACAGGTTTATAAAAAAAAAAAAAATTATTTTTTTCTTTTTGTTTTTTTGTTTTTTTTTTCTTAAAAGTATTATGGGTATTTTGAATGACTAGATAAAAAAAAATGAGTTTATCCGGGACTCGAAATAATAATAATAATAATAATAATAATAATAATAAATAATTCGTTTTTCAAAAGTCCTCGGAATCACGCTTCTTCTCCAGAAGATCCGATTTCGTCTTCGTCGTATTCTATGTATTGGGTTCCATCGGATGCTGTAGTCGATTGGGAGCTGTTTTGAGTTTCAACTTTCCATTTGTTGACGTGATGGGAATTTTTAGAACTTCCAGTCGAAGACGATTGCTGTTGGGCTTTGGCTTCTTCTTCCTGTTGCATTCTTTTATGTTTGGTCCTGCGATTTTGAAACCATACTTTCACCTTATTAGAAGAAAGAGAAAAAAACAAACAAACAAATTAATTAATAATTTTTATTTTTATTTTGTAAAATTTAATAATCGTAATTGTTTCATCGAACGGAAGCAACGGTTATTTTTTGCTTTTTAAAGGTGAACCTGTTTAAAAAAATTTTTTATTTTTATTTTATCAAATTTCTTTCTTATACGACAGAGAGAAAAAGAGAGAAAAATTGAATTAAAAAAGTCAAAACTAATAAAGTTTAATTTTAATCATCGATGAATATAATAAAAAAAAATAAAATTTAACCGGAGGTTAAGGCAAGGAAGTGATAAATAAATAAATAAAAATTCCAATAATGTATAAAATTTGAATTTAGAAAAATTGCGTCGATAAGATGGATTTCGGTCCCCATGTTTAATGGTTTGTAAATAAAGGGTAGCGTGGCGTAGAGAGGTTCATGCGCGCGAGTCTTTCTTAATAAAACTGGGAAAAGCAGACGACTTCCCTTTTGAGAAAATCCCTTCCATTCGGCGGAAGCTTCAACTACGACAAGAAATACAAAAATAAAAAATAAAAAAGCTCTAAAAAAAAAAAAAATAGGAAGGGGGAGGGGGAAATGTAAAAAAAAAAAAGCCACGGGGAAAAAAATAAAAACGAAAAAGATGACGCGGAAGCGTTCACGAAATTTAGAATAAAAATTTTCTTCTCGTTCACTATCTAAAATTTTCATCGTTTTTTTTTCTGATTTTGCGTACACAGGTTAAAACATTTTTCCATTTTGACAAAACATTCCCTCCCCCCAAAAAAAAAAAAAAAATCTCTATGATAACGCAAAACGTTACTTATTATAAATCGATAATTCAAACGTTAAACATTTAATTTTATTTTTTATAAATATTTGAACTTTTTCGCGTGCGTATTGTGTGATTTAATATTTTAATAATAATTAATAATAAAAATATTTGAAAAAAAAAAAAAAAAAAAACATAATAATATTGAAAAAAGTTTCCCCCCTCCTCTCTCTCTCTCTCTCTTTCCCCCTTCCTTTTTAAAAATGGTTCAATTGAAAAACAATCGACAAACACAATTAAATTTATAATCCTCAAATCAACGGTTAGATTTCATAATAAGAGGCAAGTTTTTGTCCGGGTTCAGCCATTGAAAAGCGAGAAAATCTCTTTTTTAAATGAAAAACGTGACACTTATCCAGGACGAGTAGATCAACCACTGCGTTTAAATTTTTTTACTCCTCTTCGATCCATCTTTTTCGTTTTTTTTCGTTTTTTTACCTTAATCGTTTTACAACATCACAAAAAAAAGAAAAGTCTTTGTTTTATTTTCTCGTTTTTCTGTAAAGTTTTTTTTTCATTTATCATACATATCCCGCGCTTAAATCTACCTTAATGTAATCACATTTCTCTCTCTCTTTCTCTCTCTCTCTCTCTATCGAATTATTGCGTCTCACAATAACAATAAAAACTATTAATTAAATAATTATTGAAAAAATCAATTTGAATCAAATAATAATAACCTTTAGACTCGTTTTTTCTTTTTTTTATTTACTCTCACTTTAACAAAATAATATTTTTTAATTTAAAATATTCTTTACGAAACTCTCCAGCACAATAAAAAAAAAAAAAAAAAAAGAAAGAAAGAAAGAAAGAAAAGATTTTTCTGCCAATGTCATCCGTTTTTTTATTATCAAGTTCCGCTTCCTGATTCACGAAGTAAAATGTATTTTCCTTTTTTTTTTTTTTTTTAAATTACACGGACCATTTAGTTTTTCCTTTGAATAATATTTTGTACGCATTAGATTTTAAATATCAAATTAATTTATTTACAATTAAACTTTTTTTTTATTATTATTAAATAAATACCGAGCCATTACGACGACGTGATTGGATAAAATAATTTTAATAATCGACATTTAATTTTTATAAAGAAATTATTAAGGGTAACTTTTAACGTTTTTTTTTTTCGCGACAACTACGAAAACCGTGTAAATTTCAAATAATTTATTATTATTATTATTATTATTATTATCATTAGCGAAATACTAGGACATTTATAAATGAATAATATTTTTACGAATGATATTTTTAGTTTGAAACAAATCATGGAAAAATGTTTAAAAAAAACCTCGCGTCACATTCATCGTCTTTTCATTATTTATTTATTTTATTACACGGAAAACGTTAAAATTATCGAGTTTTAATTAAGTGAAAAGACATAATTTAGAATGATTTAAACGATTTAATTTAAATGAAATTTTCGTGTAAATGCGATAGAAACCCATTAACAACAACAACAAAAAAAAACGAAAGGAAAAACGTAACACGCAAAGGGGAAAATCGATTTTAATTGAAAAAAAAATTTTGCAAAATTTGTGTAAAATGTAATAATTAGGTGTCACGCATAAAAAATAATTTCCGTCCTAGGAAAACTATATTAAAAGGCAACAAAAAAAAAAATTTTTTTTTTAAATATTTAGAAATACTAAATTATTTATAATTGTTAATTTTGGACCATTGTTTATTTCAAATGACATTCTCTTGTTTTTCCTGTTTAAAAAATTTAGATAAAAAACGTTCAAATTATTATTTTTCTTAAACGGAAATTATTTTTAAAAAGAATATTATTAATTATTTTTTTTCGACATCAAATTGATATTATCGATTGTAATAATAATAATAATAATAATAGAAAAAAAATGTCTTTGTAATCTCACCTGAGTTTCTGTCAAACTGAGAGATTGAGCTAATTGCTTCCTTTCGGCTCCTACAACGTAATGATTTTTTTCAAATGCGTGTTCTAATTTCAACAATTGACTCGGACTAAACGCCGTTCGTATTCTCTTTGGCTTTCTAAAAGGCTGCAGGAGAAAACCAGGAATATCCGGACCTGGAAAATTAAATAATAATAAGTATTATTATTATTTCGTTTTTTTACGAATGGGTGTATAAATGAGAGAGTGCGCGTGCGGGCGTTAATGAGCTTTTACCGCAGCCATAACCCATCTTGTGAAATTCCATTTTCTTTTTTATTATTATTATTATTATTATTATTATTATATTTTAATGTTTATCGTCATCATTGGTTTAAGATTCCCGTAGAATTTTATTGCACACAAAAATAAAAAAACGAAATTTTATATGTATATTATAGTTTTAAGAAATTATATGTGATGATGATGATGATGATGGGCTTTTAATTTTAAATCTTTCGTTATTAAAAAGAAAGAAAGGAAGGAAGAAAAGGAGGAGGGGGTGCAGAAATAAAAAGGTTAAGTGAAAAAAAATACAACAAATTATAATTAAATAAAAACGAATGAAATGAAAATTTTTTAGGTTTTTTTTTTAATAATTTAAACAAAAAAAGAAAAGAAAAATAGGTTTTCGTTTAAAAAATCGTACGAGTGATAAGAGTAAAATTTTGAATATGTTATGATTGCGATAAATAATAATCATAACGAGCACATCCTTCCTCTTCCTGTGTACATACATATTTGATTCAGACTCGAGAAAAAAAAAAAAAAAAAACATGTAGGAATCATTATTATTTATTTCGCCAAAAAAAAAAATAAATAAATAAACACGATGCTACGACGCAATGTTTAAAATATTACGTTACGTATCAAGTATTCTATATATATTAATATACATGATTTTTTAAATCCTTTGCTCTAATGTTTTTTGAATTTTTGAACTTTAGTCCCAAAGGCCACTAATGATCACTTATCGTGGAAGTTATCGTTCGTATTGGTGTATAACATTAAAATTATCATTTTTTTTTTTTTTTTTTCTGATTCAATCGCCCCAACGAGTTTTTTTTTTTTTTCAACGTAAATTAATTTTAACTCGTTCCAATTATTTTATTATGTTTTTTTTTTTTATCATCACTAAAAAATGTAACAAGGAGAACCATTTTAATTTTTTACTAATACATACATATATATGTATACCATTCGTGCATTAAAACATTCATTCTGACCGGGTAAAATTATAATAATTATGTTATGTCCGAAAATTGTTAAGTGAGAGCCATAATGATGATTTCAAAACAATTATTTAACGCTCATTGTTTTTTTTTTTTTAAATTATTACCGGATTGTCGGGGGTAATGATTACAATGATTTAAGAAAAAAAAAAAATTTCTATCAAAGTTTTTAAAATTTGACAACCCATAATTATAATAATTAATAATCGTAAAATATTGTTTTGATTAATTTTGTAAAAAAAAAAAAAAAAAAAAAAAATGCAAAGAGAAAATATATAAACGGATAATGAATCAGTCAGTGACGGTTGCGATAAAAAAAGAAAAAAAAAAGAAATTTCGTAACATTTCAATGAGAGATTAACGGTCACGGCCAACAGATTTTAAATTTTTAAAAAACACGTTAATTTTAATTTTTTAAAATTCTCGCATTTAATAACTATTATTATTATTATTATTATTATTATAATTAATTATTATAATTTAAAAAACGACATCCCGATTAGTTAATATATATATATATATATATATATATATATATAATTTGTTTTTGGAAAACAACAGCGGAAACAAAAAAAACAAATTTTAAATTTTTTAATAACAGAAAACGCGAGAATTTAGAAACGGTTAAAATTTTTTATTATTATTTTGACAATACAAATAATAATAATAATAAATAGTTAGAGTTTTATTTACATACATATATATATATTCATTTTCATGTCGGTTCGTTCTCCCAATCAACAACTAATTTTATAGTTATTATTATCATTATTATCTTTCTATATATTTTATAAAATATGTTTTTTAACGTGGGTTTAAATATTTACTAATAATTATTAATTATTTGAATTTAACGTGAAAAAAAAAACATCCTAAATTAGGTGTATAATTTATTTTTAATCAAAAAACCGATAACCTTATATATATACGTCATTCACGTTTTTACGTAAAAAAAAAAAAAAAAAAAAAAAAAAAAAACAAACTCGTACGTGAGCCGGAGGGTTATTTAATAGGGCGGGAACCGTAAAAATAAGGCAATTAATACCTGGTACGAAGGCCCTTATTCAATACCTTTTTTTTTCTCCCCCTTTTTCTTTATATATATATAATTTTTTTTAATTAAACAAAAATATTTTCTTTTAATTTTTTCATTGTCTAGAAATGAAAAAAAAAAAAAATTTCAAATCATTATTTGTTTTTTAACGCTTAATTTCTACGTTCTTCTTTTTTTTTTGTCATTTTTCTGTAAGTGAAAAAATAATAATAATTTTCATACCTGATTTTTTAATTTTATTTTTTTTCTATAGTTTTTATATAAAATTTATTAAGAATCGAAACGCTTGTCAAAGTGGAAATTTTTTATCATCTAATTATATTCTCATACATTAAATAAAAATCGTTGGCCATTTTTACGCATCATTACCATTAATATTTATTTAATGAATTTAAATTGAGATGATAATGCTTACCTCCCGGAAATCTATGCGAAAATATCCTTCCGTGCCTGGATAATAGCCACGGATATAAGGGATACGTGTCTCGCGGTGGTATTTGCGGTCCGTGATGTCCCGGATGACCCGGGGGCAAGTGGCTTGGCGGACCCGAAGATAGAAAACCTCCCGGCTGCTGTTGATGTTGTGCTATTGCCGCGGCCAAACCTGCAGCTGGTTGTAACAAAAAAAAATAAAATAAATAAAAAATCTCTTCCGCTACATTCCCGGCTTTTTACTCAATAAGATTCTTTCTTAAGACGAAAACGAAATATATATATGTGTGTTTGTGTGTGAGTGTATTTTTTGAGTTTTACCTTGAAAATGCTGAGCTGCGGCTGCCAGTGCCAACGGATGAGGATGATGGTGATGACTCGGGTGACCCACTCCGTGCATGACCGGATCCGTAGGCAGGTAGATCCCTTTGAGAGCTGCTGCTGCGTTCATTTCGCTTCCGAACGGCACAACGTTGGCCGGTGTCAACACCGAGGGCTTTATCAATGAGGCTTTCGGACTTAAACTAGTTCTTTCTCCACTCGCGGGACTTATCGAACTTCTAGGACTGTTCGAATGAATGGAACTTTCAAATTTAGATATATCTTGATCGGTCGATCGGTGAGGGGACGCGGTTTTAGGATAACGATATGAAGATATCTTTCCTTCGGTGGGAAACGGAGATCCGCTACGAAACGCCGAATTGTTTTTTATTATTAAATTCGTGGGGCTCGCGTCTATAGGAGTCCTGTTTCCGTTGTAACGCAAATCCGCAGGCGATCTGCTTTCGAATTTATTCGATACGTCGCTCGACGGACTCCCCGGATTAATTATTTCGTCTTCTTCGTCATCTTCTTCGTCTTCGGGTTCGTCGTTTGGGAACGTGGAAGATTTCGACGTTTGAATTTTACAATTGTCCACGATTGTTTTATCGTGATTCCTATCCGTTTTGTTATTAATGGAATATTGAATCCTATTGCTTCCAGTTCCGCCGACGATCGAGTCGATGGAGAAACCAATTTTAGGCTTTGTAGGAACAGACATCATTGGAATCGGCGCTAATGGCATCATGATTTGAAAATCACTTAACGCGAGTAAAACATTTCACGGTTAATTCTTAAATATTTATTTTTAGTTTTTTAAAATTTTTTTTCTTCATTTTTTTTTTTTTTTTTTTTTTTTTACGTGTTTGAATAGGTATGAAACGATGACGATGACGACGACGTTAATAACAACAAAAACAACAGCGACAACAACAACAAAAACAACGACGACAACGAGAAAAATCTGACCTCCTTATTTTTGTTTATAAAAAACATAAATAAAGAAAATTTTTAGAGGATGAAAAGTAAAATAATATGGTAGTACTAAGAGTCGTCGTCAACAATTTATGCTTAAAAAAAAAAGAAAACTTGAAAACCACTGAAAATTTCACTTATTAATAAAAACCCCGAGAATAATCGTGCACTGAATTAATATTTAATTAAACAAAACGGCGGTGGAACAATAATAATAATAATAATAATAATAATAATAATAATAATATTATACGTATTCACGGTCGCATTTATATTTTCATTAAAATAATAAATTTGAATGATTGAACGGTTTTGTTCGATTAATGACAACTAGTTTATTTTAATATAAATAATAATTTGATGACACCACTTGTTGTTTTTTTTGTTAATTTTATAAATTTCTTCTTTTTTAAATAAAAAAAAAAAAAATCACAAACGAATTTTTCATCACTTAACATATAGTTTTTTTTAAACGCGTGCGTGTGCGCGCGCGCGCGCGTGTGTGTATGTGTTTTCGTGCGTACACGATAGCGTACGCAAATATTCACTTATGTCCCTACGCGTAATAAAAATAATAATAATAATAATAATAATAAATTTGAAACATAAACAATAATGATGATGATGATGATGATTATATACGTAATCAGAGAAAAATAAAGGAAAATTAAAACTTTTGATTTTATTTTTCTGCAATGCGGATAATTACGTTATTTCACTTCCGTATACGCATTTTTGTTTTTTTTTCCTGTTTTGTCTGTTTTTTTTTTTTTTTTTTATGTTTTTTTCACCCCGTGCACATACAACGACACCGAATACAGGCAACCGCTTACTGGTAGATAAACGAAAAAAAAAAATAAAATTAGGTGGGATAAAATAAGTGGGAGGAGCTTAAAAATCGATTGAGAGAGGGATGCTAATGAAGGCGGAAAAAAGAGAAAGAGAAGAAAATTTATGGAAGGGATTATTACGGAATAATAGCTGGAGCATGGGCGAAGGGGGGGGGAGGGGAGGAGTTGTAGGAGATTAAGAACAGTTTAGTTTTTGAGATGAAAATTTTCTAATTGTATTATTATTATTACTATTAAATGTATGACCTCGATTTTCGGGTGTCAACCATGGGTAAACCATCTAAATTTTTTTTTTTTTTTTTTTAACCAACAAACACATAAATACTTCCCCCCTTCCCTCCCCGCCCCACGACTCAAAATTTAAAAATAATAAATTAAAATTTATTTAAATCAATAATGAAATGGATTATTATTATTATTATTCTATCGAATGCATTATAATTATTGGTTGAAACGTAAAATACATTTATTTACAATAATTTATAATAATTAATTGATATCGATTCTTTTTCCTTTGATTACATTAGAGAATTTCACGCCGGCCGCCGATAAAGAGAAAAAGAAAGAGAGAAAGAGAGAGAGAGAGAGAGATGCAAAAAATAATTTTTATCGAACGTCTCTCTTTTAAGAAAACACCGGGAAACTCTGGGAACGTTTAAAAAAAAAAAAAAAAAAAAAAAAAAAAACAATCAATATACCAGAGCTTCGAAAAATTTTAAAGTTATCAACACCACCACCAGTATCAAAATAAAGGTTAAACACACACACGCACACACATATTTTTTTTCTTATTAAAGTTTTTTTTTTATTTAATGATTTTTACAAATGAATCAAATATTATTGTGGAGCGTTAATTAAAAAAAAAAAGAATACATAATAGTAATAATAATGATGATGATGATGATGATAATGAAAGGAAAAAACATGTATGTGAATCGTAATTGTCTCTCGCAATACGTTTGAAAATTTTCCAAAATGTAACCTTTAAGTCTCTCTCTCTCTCTCTCTCTCTCTCTCTCTTAATTTTGTTTTTAGTTTTTTTATATAAATATATATATATATATGTGACGAACGTGAATTTATAATAAATATTTATTACATACGCATGCGCCCTTCCCCTCCTCTGTTATTTCGATTAAAATCTTTTCTTATAATTTATTTACTATATTACATTATTACTTTATTACTTTACATATTATTACATTATTACTATTATTATTATTATTATTATTATATTATTATTATTTTATTATTTAATGTATGATATATTTTTCTTTTCCGAAAAATTTCGCGACAAATATTATGCTTTCTCTCTCTCTCGAGTTTGAGGTTTTTTTTTTTTTTTTTTTAGAGTTTGTATGATGTAAATTTAAAATGGAGATATAAACCGAAGAACCACACGAACGTATGTGTAAAATTATATTATTATTATCATTATTATTATTACTAAACGATGGTAACGAATGGAGTAGACCGCCTTTGGAACGAAACGTCGTCCTCTTAAACCCCTCCCATGAAAAATCCCTGAATCAGATTAAATTAAAATGCTTTCATGTGGTGTTTACAAACAATTTGTTTTCCGATGACAGGATTGGTCGGTTTACTTGGGTTCGTTTCCATGGTGATTTTTCTCAACATCATGTCTTTTTAAAAAAAAAAAAAAAAATCTTTATCGTCACAAAATTACCGTCAGAAAATTGATTTTTTTCCCTTCGTTTTCAATTGAATTATAAGTAATTATTTAAACGATGGATTCCGTATGAATACCGTATGAAAGAGAGAGAGAGAGAGAAAAACTCTTTTTTTTTCACTTGGTTTATCCGTATAGCGTCCCCCCCCCCCCGAGATCTTAACAATGCAATAATAATAATAATAATAATAATAATAATAATAATAATATTATCTTATTAACGTTTAGACAAAGACCTCGTACACGCCTGTTTTTTACCGATCGAATCGAATTTTTTTTTGAATATTTGACGTTATTTTAGAACAAATAAAATTTTACCGGTTTAAACGAAAAACCCTTATACTCATCCGTTAAAAAATAATCGGGGTATATAATTAGACTGTACAAAATTAAATTTCAACAACATATACAATATATTATTAATCGGATAAAATATTCGTCAATTATATTATATAATTATATTTATAGGCGATAAAATAAATTTTACGCGAGATGATGAGGATTGTTTAGGTCCACGCTTTTATTCATTTGATCATTTAGAGTTCCGTACGCTTGGAAAAACAATGGAGGCAAATGAATATATATATATATATATATATATATATATATATATATATTGGCATTTATTTATTTGTGTGGGATTTAAATGATGTGCAAGTATAATTATTGTCTTTAAAATAAAAAAAAATAACTTCGTGTAATTAAAAAAAAAAAAAAAAAAAAAAATGATTAATGATGATTTTTATAAATTTTACATTTTTTCCTAACATTTGAACAAACTCGCGACAATAGTTTCGCGGTCCTCCTTTTAATCAAAGAGATAATATATTTTGTCGAGGAGAAAAAAAAAAGATTGATTATAATGATAAACAATCAATCAATCAATCAATCAATTAATAAATACAGAATAAATTGATTAATTAAAATGCATTTTAATGATAATAAAATAAAAATAATTAATTTTTATTGATATATATATTTTTTTTTTGTCAACCTTGGCGATAAACAGCAAATAAAATAAAAACTAAAAGAAAAAAAATTAAAATTTTAACAAACCAATTTAAAAAACGTAAAAAAAAGAGAGAGAAACGTTTTATTATTGTTAATTATTTATTATTCGTAAATGAAATTTCGTTTTTAGTTATGGCCGAAAATATTTTCATCGTTATTATTTAAAAACATTAAGTGTCAAACTATTCTAAAATATCGAGAGAGAGAGAGAGAGAGAGAGAGAGAAAAAAATCAATTTCTTTTTTATTATTATTCTTCTTCAATACCTGAAGCATTTGTTTTAATGTTAAAAAAAAAAATTAAATTTTAAAATGTAAAAGATAAAATAAAAATATAATTAAAAAAAAAAAAAAAAACTCTAAGTCGTTGAAGGTATAAATCCCAATTTTTACACACATTTATATTTACACGCACCCACACACACACACAAAAACACTCACACATTCACGCACTAACATTACATATACATATGTATATATATATATGTATTTGTTATATAGGTATATACACATTTATAACTGTGTATGCGTATGTGCGCCCCATGTATCTCCGCCGACGTGAAAGAAAGATGCGTTCAAATTTAACGAACATCAACAACATCTTTTCTCAATTCAATTTCATTATTGTATTTTGTCGCAAATATTCAATCCTGAAAAACGTTACGACAAAAAAAAAAAAAAAAAAATTCGCTTTTATTTTCACCGTAATTGCAAGCGGGGATTTTCTTTTTTTCTTTCTTTTTTTACTCTCAAGCGTTTTTTTTTTTTTTTTTTTTGCATTTTCAAAATTCATTATTCTTTTTTTTTTCTTATAAACGCTTTTAATTTTACGAGCCCGTTAAATCGACGATATCAACTCATAATTGATATATATATATATATATAGACATGGCCCACAGAAATATTTAATCATAGGAAAATTCCACCCGTTTATTTGTTATCTACAAACATTTCTAACGCGACGTACTTTCTTTCATCTCCCATTGAATGCATCCTTTCGTGTTTTTCTAATTTTTCTTCGTTTTTAAATCCTTTACCGCAATATTTGCAACATTTGAAAAATTTCTTTCTCGCGTGAACTCTTACGTGATTAAATAATGCTGTTTTCCTAGCGTAAGCTTTTGGACACACGTCACATTTATACGGCTTTTCACCTGTTGAAAAACAAAAATAGAAAAAATTTATTTGTTTTAATACTCATCAGAATATAAACGACTCGAACAATATGAAAATTAAATAATTGAAAATTCAACCTGAAAACTTTAAAAAAAGTAAACTCGTTAAATAATATAATACTTTGGGATTTACCTGTGTGAGTAGTCACGTGTAATTTTAACTGAGATTCAAATGAGAATGCTTTCCAACAATTGTCACATTTATATGGCTTGATGTGTTTATTTCTAATGTGGGCCTGAAATAAAATGCATCATCATATAAACTTGCGTGTACATACACACACACACACACATACATACATACATATATATTGAAACGAATGAAAAATGACAATCAATCACAAAAATAATTATTCCTAACCTGTAATTGACATTCTGTTCTAAATGAATCTTTGCAATGCATACATGGTAATAATATTTTTTCTTTTTTTCTTGGAGTCACTAAACTAATTGTTTGAGTCTGTTGAGATTGATTGACGTGCTGCGGTTGTATTTCTGTTCCCTGCTGAAATTGAGTTGCCATTATCTGTTAAAAAAAAAAAAAAAAAAAAAATCATAAAATATCATTCACAATAATCACATTTAAAAAACTACATTTCTTTAATATGCTAGGTAAAATAAATGTAAATGATTATTATTTAACAGAAAAAAACATCAGAAATGAAATTTTTATATTTATGTGATATTTTGTTTAATTATTTTAATTAAAAATCTTCCTTAAACATACCCTGGGGTTAAACATTCAAAAAGAAAACACCCTTGTCATTTCACATAATTATTTTTGAATTTTATTTACTGGCATTTATTACTCTCGAGCAAACAAACAAAATGCCTATCAGACATATCGAATGAGACTTTATAATTAACTCATTCTTTAGCAAGAGTAACACGTGTATTTAAATATATACATAATAACGTGCAATAAGTCTATTGTGCAAAAGACAAATTGTAGAATTTAAAAAAGAAAATGATTTCAACAATTATAATTGACAAACAATGAAAGTCAACAAAAAAAAGCGAGAAGTAAATGAAATTGGAATCAAAATTTTATCTGTCTTTGCATTGATGAGTGCTGAAGAAAATATTAACAAATAAACTTAGATAAAATGTCAGCATTCACTTGTGAGAAATTAGCTTGATTAATTGAGAAAAAATTATTAAAAATAAACAAAGGAAATTGAATTGTAATTTATATCAAGATACTTTACTGCTGTTCTTATGTGATCATCATTGGTTTGTTGTTGTTGTTGTTGCTGCTGCTGTTGCTGTTGCTGTTGTTGTTGTTGTTGCTGAGCGGCAGCTTGAGTTGCCTGCATTTGTTGATATTGCCTAAGATCTACTTCACAAACAACTTGTTCTGCTCTACTTATCATGGTTCCTTCTTGAACTTGTAATGCATTTAATGGGATGTGCTAGATTTTTTTAAAAGTCGTAAAATTTCATTTAAAATTCAATTACTCTGAGAGTTGGTATTACTTAATAATTAATTTTTTATTTTCCCCCTCACTTGATTAGAAAGAACATATGCTGTTCTAACATTAGGATCTCCCTGAACTTGCATTTGAACTTGCATTGGAGGCTGTTGTGCATAAATTATTCGAACATTCTGGTCTGGAATGGGTTGAGTCTGAACCGATACAGGCATTTGTTTTCCGTAAATAACTCTTGGATGTTGAATTGTAACTGTTTGAGTTTGTTGAATTGTTACTTGCTGTGGTTGTTGTAGCTGCTGAGATGCTTGCGTAACTGATTGGGGCTGATTAGGATCATTGCTATAAATGCCCTTTCCCTTGTTTTTCCTTCGATCAGACATTTTATATTTTTTCTTTACCCTGAAATTAAATATAAATTTAATTAATTAAATAATATTAAGATGAAACATATTTTGCATGTAAAAATCTTAATTCCTTCTCTAGAACATGTCTTTTTTTTTCAGTTTTTTTTTTTTTTTCGACTAATTGTTGTGCATTATTAAAAATTAAAGTGCTTAAAGTTTTTTAAAAAAAAAAAAATTTACTTCAATTAAAAGTATTTATAAAATCAAAATGTGTCAGTGAAATTCTACACAAATTTCTGAAATTTTTAATTTACCAAAACTACGAGATAATAATTTATTAAAGAAAAAAAAAAAAAAACAAAAAAAAATAAAAAAATAAACATGCTACTTTACTGTCGACATTAAAATATTTATAATATATCATATTTAATGTGGTCAACTATTTAGAAAAAAAAAAAAAAAAAAAATTTATTTTGGCTTTAAGTTTAAAAAATATATAAATATCTAACAAAAAAAACCATGCCGTTTGATGAACAATTAAGTTTTATTTCAATAACAGCAAACCGCTTTTCTTGTGAAAAGAAAAAAAAAAAAATAGGTTATATAAATATATGTATATTATTTTTTTGTTGTAACAAATAAAGTGATTCAAGTTTATTTAATAATTATATTCGACCTTTACGATTTCTGTTTTGTAAAAAAAATGAATGAGTGCGATTAATTAAACGAATAAAAAACGATGTAGACAAGCATCAATTGGATTATTTCGTTTATGGTTTTGAACCAACGGCAGAGCATTTTGTTTAAAAATGAAAATATCGATCTAAGATGAAATCGCAATATAGGAAACCACACCCGTATAAAAGCAGCGTCTTTTTTCACGTAAAACACAGACGTGCGTCAAAGATTTTGTTTTACCTCAGATAAAAATGTAATTATTCGATGGCGGTTCCGGTTTAATTTAACGTTTATTACGTACATTAATTTATTTCACACCCTAAGCTAAGTAACACTATAAGCAATATAGTTTATTTATCAAGCCTCAACGAATTCCGACATTTTGAACGTGTCTCTGACATTTCTCCCGTTAAATATAATTCCTGCGCGGTGACTGATGCGCGCTGTCAGGCGGCCATATTTAATTTCTAACTGTCCGATAATCATTCGTTTTGTAAACATTCAGGAAGACGCATTGCTTTGAAAGATTTAAAAAAAAAAAAAAAAAAAAATACATATATATGATAAAAAATTTAATAGTGATTAAATATTATTATTTAAAAGTGATTATAAACGTGGTAAATTAAGAAAGAGAGAGCCGACTGTAGGTTTTATTATTATAGCGAGATACTTATCGCTCTTGTTTTTATTTAACTTTTTCGTTTTTGTTTCAGATTAAAAATCATTCATTAATTGTTCAAATGTCGTCGTTTATAAATCGTCAAAGTAATTTCACACACGGATATGATGTTGCAAAATGGCGCGCTCAGTCAAATTGTAATTTTTAATAGCTCAAATTATATAATTATTTAAATTTTTTTTTTTTTAAAGAAAATTTAGTGTTTGGTTTACTCTAATTTAACTACTCATCATATCATAAAGTAACTATCATCATATGATAAAGTATAATATTGATACACTATTACAATAGTATTAATTGGGAAAATGATGATATTATGGAAAGCAATGTGAATGACATTTTTTTTTAGACTCTTAAAATTTCTCAATTAAATATCGATCAAGATCATCACATGCAAAAAAATGATTTTCTCTGGGATCAATCGTTGCAAAAAAGCTAATCACATTTATCCAATTGATATACATAAAAAATGTTGCTCTTCCAAGAAAAGTTTTGATTATGTCAGATTACCTGAGGAAGCAAGAGTTGTCATATGTGGCGGAGGAGTTTTAGGTTCTGCTGTTGCATACCATCTATGCGAATTAGGATGGGGAGAGCACACTGTAATTCTCGAAAAGGGAATGTAAGTTAAACTCGAGTTAACTAAAATTAAATTTTTTTTTTTTTTTTTTTTTTTTTTGATTTCATATATATAATATAATAGTAACAAGCTATTATTATTTTATTTTTTAATTCTTTGTCAATTCAACTGAAACATAACTGACAAAAATTCTAGATTGGTTTTTGTAAAATGTTTAATTTTTCTTTATATTGAAACCAAATTTTCATTTATTATTTTCCAAGTCAGTGAAATTAATGTGAATCTCGATTCTCCTGGCTGTTGGTTTTTTATTATAAATTCCTAAACTTTATTAAGAATAAATTTTTAAAAATGCTTTCGGTGACAAAAGATAAAAAAAAACAATAAATGAAAATTACAAATTATTTTATAACTTTCAGTTATAATTCCGCATAAGCGGAAAATTTTCGAATGAAAAATGCTCAATATTAAAATATTGCATTGTAAAAAATGCATAAAATGAATTTGCCACCTTTCCAGTTGTGCTAAAACAGCTGCATGGATATCTTCCGGCTTAATAGGTAGTTTCAAACCTAAATTATCTCAAGTAAGGCTAACGCAGGAAACGATTCGTCAATACAAAGACATGGAGGCCAAGGGTCTAAAAACTGGTTGGAAACAATGCGGGAGTCTATGTTTGGCACGGACGAAAGATAGGATGACTGTTTTTCAAAGGATGAAAGCAAAGGCCGTGTAAGTGGTGCATAGGTAAAATAAAAAAAAAGTAAAAAAAAAAAAAAAAATTTTTTTCGTGTTTTTGAAAATCTTTTGTAGTAGTAGTAGTAGTAACTTTTGACGCAACATCATTGCATTCAAGGTCCTGGAATATTGAATGCGAATTGATAACTCCTGACGAGATTAAAAAAAAATGTCCTTTGCTTAAAACGGATGATTTATATGGAGGATTATTCATACCCGGAGATGGAGTAGCGGATGCTCATGAAATTTGTAAATCATATTTGGAAAGTGCAAAAAAAAAGGGTAACAGTATTTTCATTGAGTAATATTAATTATCATATCTCAAAAAAAAAAATTCATTTAAACGTAAACTTTCTCGTTTCCTCGTTCGATTCGCAAAATTAGCATCATTAATTAAAATATGTAAAATTGGTATTGATAAAAAAAAAAAAAAGAAATTACAAATGTGAATTTTATATATTGTCAAAACCGTGTGTAATATTTGAAATTATTCTTTTTCTACTTTTAGGGAGGAAAAAAAAAAAAAAAAAAAAAAAAAAAACGTTACGTACGGCCGTTATGGAAAAATAAAAAATAAAATGCTTTACCTTTATTTCCTTTACTTGTGATTCATACGTTGATAATAAGTATGATTACGAATGACATTTTGTCTTTTTATATTATTTTTACTACATTAGTCTTATTAAAATTAAAAAAAAAAAAACTTTATAAACTATATTTTTACATAATTATAACATAAATTACCATTTTTTTATTTACATTAGTTTTTATGCAGATTTTTTTTTACACGCACACATGTTTTTAATTGGTTATTTAAGGTACTCAAGTGTTTGAAAAAACTTCAGTCACCAAAGTGATTTGTGAGGAAGGAAGAGTGACTGGAGTCGAAACCAACATCGGAACAATAAAATGTAATTACTTTGTAAACTGCGGAGGATTTTGGGCTCGAGAAGTTGGTAAAATGAGCGATCCCGTTGTCAAAGTTCCCATACACGCTTGCGAACATTACTACCTTCACACTAAGAAAATTGATAACCTGGATCCCATGACGCCAGCTGTCCGGGATTTGGACGGTCATATTTATTTCAGGGAATATCACGGAAAGCTTTTGTGCGGTGGTTTTGAACCCGAAGCCAAACCTGCTTTCGAAGATGGAATATTGCCAGGTTTAATTTTGATAAATATCATAAAACGTTTTTAACAATTTATAATTTTTACATATCGAAAAATATATATATATATATATATATTTTTTTTTTCGTTCTAGAAATCCCCGAAATGCGAGTTTTACCAGAAGATTGGGATCAATTTCATTTTTTACTTCAACAAATGATTCATAGAGTGCCTACTTTGGAAAAAGCAATGCTAGAAAAATTATGCAATGTTCCTGAATGTTTTTCTCCGGATTGCAAATGGATATTGGGAGAAGCTCCAGAAGTCAGATTTTTATAAGTTTTTTTTTTTTTTTTCTTTTTTTTTTTTTAAATTTGGAATTTTTTAAAAGAAAAAAAAAATTTTTTTTCAGGTTCGAAATTATTTTGTGGCTTCGGGAATGAAAGCTGTCGGTGTTTCGGCTGCGGGTGGCGTTGGTCGCGTCACCGCCGATTGGATTGTAAACGGATACACTTCCCACGATCTCTACGAATTGGATATTTCTCGATTTTTGGGATTACACAACAATATTAGATTTTTACGAGAAAGAGTAAAAGAAACTCCTGGTATGCTTTTTCTCAAAATTAGGATTGACATTACCACATTATTCACTGTTGTTTGATCCATGTAAAATTTTTTCTCGATTATTATTTACCCCACGGAACTTTTCGATGATAACTTAAATTTCTAGTCATTAAAATAAGTGAATTTTAGATTAAAAAATTCAGGTTTACGATATTTGATTGTAGGTATGCATCACGGATTAATTTATCCCTTTCACGAGTACAAGACTGGACGTAATTTAAGAATGTCTCCAATTTATCCCATGCTAAGAGAAGCGGGAGCTGTTTTCGGTCAAGTCATGGGTTACGAACGGCCGACTCATTTTGAATCTAGTCACGAAAGTGATCGTTTACCGGATGGATCCAAAGTTTACAAAATAGCAGAAAACAGAACTTTCGGAAAACCAAATTGGTTTGATTTCGTTGCCGATGAATACAATGCTTGCAGAGAGTCGATAGGATTCAGTGATTATTCGTCATTCACTAAATTAGAAATGTGGGTACGTTCATATTGATTATCATTATTATTAATCGTCACTTTTAATCACGACGGGATAGTTTTTTTTACGTGCTTTTTTTTTTCTTTTAGTCCAAAGGCAGAGAGGTGGTTGATTTGCTTCAGTTTTTATGTTCAAATGATGTCGACGTGCAAATTGGAAGCATTATTCATACGGGTATGCAAAATGTACATGGGGGATACGAAAACGATTGCAGTTTAATAAGAATGGCTGAAAATCAGTAGGATGATTGTTGTTTGCACCATATATGTGGTTTTTTTATTTATTTAAAAGTATTAATTTTCGATTATTTTTTTTTTTTTTTTTTAGTTTTTTTCTAATAGCTCCGACGATACAACAAACGCGATGCAAAGTTTGGATCAATCGTTTTATTCCAAAGGATGGATCCGTTCACTTGTCAGATGTAACTTCAATGTATACGGCCATATGCGTTATGGGACCATTTACGAAATCTTTACTACGTGAATTAACTGATGCCGATCTCTCATCTAAGGCTTTCCCTTTTTTTACTTTTAAGGTTTTTATAAAGATTTTTGATAAAAAAAAAAAAAAAAAAATTAATAAACTATTATATATATGCATTTGCCGTTGTTTCTCGAGTAAAGAAATATATATATCAATAGGAAAAATTTCATTCCGTTTAGGAAATTGATATTGGATCGGCAAACGGGATTCGAGCGCTTAATATCACTCACACGGGCGAATTAGGATTTGTCTTGTACATTCCCAACGAATTCGCTTTACACGTTTACCAACATTTAGTCGATGCGGGACAAAAATATGGAATAAAGCATGCCGGTTACTATGCAATGAGATCTTTGAGAATCGAAAAGTTTTTTGCTTTTTGGGGTCAGGATTTAGATACTTCTACAACTCCCCTTGAATGTGGGAGAACTTGGAGAGTAAAATTTGATAAAGGAGTCGATTTCATTGGGCGTGATGCATTGTTAAGGCAAAGGGAAAATGGCGTAAAAAGAATGTACGTACAACTAATACTTACTGATCACGATCATGAAAAAGATTTATGGTCTTGGGGCGGAGAACCCATTTACAGAAATGGCAAATACGTTGGAGCTACTACAACCACTGGCTATGGATACACATTTAAAAAACAAGTAATAATACTGAAAAAACTTTGTTTTATTTTTTATTTTTGTTTCACATATATTCTCAAAGGTGTAATTGACTTGTTTTATAAAAAATCTCAACATTTCAATTTCAGGTTTGCTTGGGTTTTGTTAAAAATTTAAATGAATTTCAAGAACCACAGAAAATCACAAGCGAATGGGTTTTATCTGGAAATTATGAAGTCGATATAGCAGGGATTCGGTACCGTGCAAAACTAAATTTATATTCACCAAATTTGCCTTCTAAATATCCTGACAAGGAGCGCCAAGCTTACCGTGCCACTAGAGACAAAATGATCACAGAACCTATTTTGTCATCTGTCGTAGAATATGTTTAATATTGTTATTATTAATAACAGAGGTGTAATAAAATGAATAGGTGTAAAAATAAGAATGTCATTGTTATAAATGATGTTATCTTAATATCATTATATCCAAAAAAAAATAAAACATGATGATTTTTTTTTTTATTTATTAAAAATTTTTAATTACATCAGAAATTTTTTTTTTTTTTGATTTATAGAACCATTTTTAATTCGTGTTAGGTTTAATTGGAAACCTGAACATAACAAAAGTAAGGAGTAGTTGTGTACCACTGTAATCCAACTACTCGAAGGCTAAGTTTGGAGGATGTTTTAAGGGCGAGGATTCTGGGATTGAATTTCCCACGTTAATTAGGTGTTCGCTAGGGGTAAATCTTCAACTTGGATGCCTTGAGGTAGCCCGAGATAACCAAATGGAGTCTGAGAAGGGGAATGATCGTCCCCAAAAGTCACCGAATGGAAAATCGAGGGTTCAAATCCTGGAAGCGAAAGTTCGATTTCAGCTCATCGAAACAAAAAAATAAGTGACCCGAAACCCTTTCGAGGCATTGGGAATGCGCCGACCATAGTTGGAGAAGGTGAAACCTGATCCAAATAAGGAAAATGAGGAGCTACGATGTGAAATGAAAATAAATGATAGATTAATGGGATTCGCGACCGAAGACATCTTTCTCTCTCTCTGGAAGAAGGAGGAACGATGGTAACAGATCGGAATTGACGGTAGAAAGGATAAATAGAGGAATTATTGGGATCTTTCTCGGATGGTGACTTGATGGCTACGGCTAAGGAGGGAATTGAGACTGAAATGAGGTTCGGATACCGGCGAACGTTCTTTCTTCCAGGAATTTTAGTTGGATAGTGGCTTCAGCTGAGTTCCACACCCTCTCTGCTTCGAAAGGGAAAGCCTAATGCGAAAAAAGAAGACCCGAACATGCACGGCCCCGAACTGAAAAAAATCCCCGAATGGCACGGGCCCCAAATTGAAAAAAATACCCGAAATAAAACGACACGAGTGAAAAACAGAACCGTAAATAGGTTTTTTTTAATATTAGTAATATTATTATTTTTTTTTTTTTTTACCCGGACTTGCACGACCCCAAAATAAAAAAATACCCGAATTGCACGACCCCAAAATAAAAAAATACCCAAATTGCACGGACCCCGAATTAAAAAAAATACCCAAAAAAAAAAGGACACGAGGCAAAATTGCCCGTAGTATTCTTTTTCTCTCGGTGCACTTGTGCCCCTGTTGCACTGATCGAATCTCGACGCACGTCGAGTTTTTACCGCACGCTCTCGGTCTCGGTCTCGATCCCCGGGCTTTTTTTTCTTCGTGTTCGTTCCCTCGATGCAATTGTGCCCCTGTTGCACTAATCGAATCTCGACGCACGTCGAGTTTTTACCGTACGCTCTCGGTCTCGATCCCCGTGCTTTTTTTTTTTCTTCGTGTTCGTTCCCTCGGTGCAATTGTGCTCCTGTTGCACTAATCGAATCTCGACGCACGTCGAGTTTTTACCGTACGCTCTCGGTCTCGGTCTCGATCCCCGGGCTTTTTTTTCTTCGTGTTCGTTCCCTCGATGCAATTGTGCCCCTGTTGCACTAATCGAATCTCGACGCACGTCGAGTTTTTACCGTACGCTCTCGGTCTCGGTCTCGATCCCCGGGCTTTTTTTCTTCGTGTTCGTTCCCTCGGAGCAATTGTGCCCCTGTTGCACTAATCGAATCTCGACGCACGTCGAGTTTTTACCGTACGCTCTCGGTCTCGGTCTCGATCCCCGGGCTTTTTTTTCTTCGTGTTCGTTCCCTCGGTGCAATTGTGCCCTTGTTGCTCGTCTTGCGTGCGTGCGTCGTTTGATCGGTACACTCCTGTTTCTCCTCCCCCTTATTCGAATAAGAGGCATTCCGTAAAAACGAGGTATTTTACTAAAAAAAAAAAAAAAAAAAAAAAATCAAGAAAATTAAATAAATAAATAAATAAGGACACGATACAAAGAAACATGAAATATCATTAGAAATTAATAACAATAATAATAATAATGATAATATTTAAAATAGAAAATAAAAAAAAAATCACTTCCGTTATTTCAATTCCAATCCTTTTTCATTTCCGCTTTTATTTTCAAAATCAAAATTTGAAGTCGGAAACGGAAACGGAATCGGAATCCAAAAACAAAATCAAAATCAAAAATTAAAATCGAAATCAAAATCAAAACCGAAATCAAAAATTAAAATCGAAATCGGAATCGAAATCGATATTTAAAATCGGAATCCGAATCCGAATCCAAAATCAAAACCTAAATCAAAAATTAAAATCGAAATCAAAGTCAAAACCGAAATCAAAAATTAAAATCGAAATCGAAACCGGAATCGAAATCGATATTTAAAATCGGAATCCAAAATCAAAACCGAAATCAAAAATTAAAATCGAAATCGGAATTTAAAATCGGAATCGGAATCCAAAAACAAAATCAAAATCCTAATGCAAAATTAAAATCGAAATCGAAATTTGAAATCGGAATCCGAATCCGAATCCAAAATCAAAACCTAAATCAAAAATTAAAATCGAAATCGAAATCGGAATTTAAAATCGGAATCGGAATCCGAAATCAAAACCGAAATCAAAAATTAAAATCGAAATCGGAATCGAAATCGAAATCGATATTTAAAATCGGAATCCAAAATCCGAATCCAAAATCAAAAATCCAAAAAACAAAAAAATTTGAAATCGAAATCCAAAACCAAATTAACAATTAATTAAAAATTAAATTTAAAAAAATTTTTTTTTTTTTTTTCGTTGAATTCAATTTAATCGAATCCGATAACACTAAACAAAATGACGAAACATTCGTTCGATCACATTCGTCCAATTACATTCGTCCGCATTCGATTTCTCATTCGTTTGATTCGATTAATGTTCAGTTCAATTTTATTTCTTTCCGGTTTCGGTTGTGTTTTTAAGTTTGGTTTTTTTTTTCGGTTTTGGTTTTTTTTTTTTTTTTCCGGTTTCGGTTTTGGTTTTGAGTTCGATTTTTTTTTTTGGTTTTGGTATTTTTTTTTTCCGGTTTTGGTATTTTTTTTTCCGGTTTTGGTATTTTTTTTTTCCGGTTTTGGTATTTTTTTTTTTTCCAGTTTTGGTTTTTTTTTTTTCCGGTTTTGGTTTTTTTTTTCAGTTTTGGTTTTTTTTTTTTTTCGGTTTTAAATTTTTTTTTTTTTCCCGGTTTGGGAATTTTTTTTTTCGGGTTTCGGTTGGGGTTTTAAGTTGGGTTTTTTTTTCCCGGTTTGGGTTTTTTTTTTCCAGTTTGGGTTTTTTTTTTTTTTGGGTTTGAAATTTTTTTTTTTTTCCGGGTTTGGTATTTTTTTTTTTTGGGTTCGGGTTGGGGTTTAAATTTGGGTTTTTTTTTTCCGGGTTTGGTTTTTTTTTTTCAGTTTTGGTTTTTTTTTTCCGGTTTTGGTTTTTTTTTTTTCCGGTTTCGGTTTGGGTTTTAAGTTTGGTTTTTTTTTTCTTTTTTTTTTTTTTTTTTTCTCCCGGTTTTGTTTCTAAGTGTGGTTTTTTTTCCGGTTTCGGTTTTGAGTTCGGTTTTTTTTTTTTCACTTTCGGTTTTGATTTTTTTTTTTTTTCCGGTTTTGGGATTTTTTTTTTTTTTTTCCGGTTTCGGTTTTGGTTTAGGTTTAGGTTTTGGCTTTGGTTTATTGTTTCATGTACAAATTTCTGTTCAGTTTCTTCACGCTCGCGAATTCTCGACTCACCCGTTTCCGCTCTGGCCGTCGAAAAAGATCTCTCTCGGGGATGAATGACATTTTTTCCGGGGCTGCTGTTTAACTGGAAAAAAAAAAAAAATAAATAAATAAATAAAAAAAAGGAAAAGAAAATTTTAAATAAAAGATGAAGTAAAAGAAAAGAAAAAAAAAATTCATTTCATCCCCCACCCACAGCTCGCCCCGGAACTCGGGGCAAGGCGCGGGTGAGGGGAGAGGTTGAGCGAAATTCGGAGAGTCCGGGACGGCGGTCGAAATCCGGAAAAAAAAAAAAATTTTTTTTCGCGCCCTCCCCCACCCCCACCCGAAACCGCGATATCGCGGCTCCCGTCGCGGGGCCCCCGTCCGACTTCGGAGAGTCCGGGACGGGGGTCGAAATCCGGAAAAAAAAAAATTTTTTTTTTCGCGCCCTCCCCCACCCCCACCCGAAACCGCGAGATCGCGGCTCCCGTCGCGGGGTCCGCGTCCGACTTCGGAGAGTCCGGGACCGCGGTCGAAATCCCGGAAAAAAAAAAATTTTTTTCGCGCCCTCCCCCACCCCCACCCGAAACCGCGATATCGCGGCTCCCGTCGCGGGGTCCGCGTCCGACTTCGGAGAGTCCGGGACCGCGGTCGAAATCCGGAAAAAAAAAAAAATTTTTTTTCGCGCCCTCCCCCACCCCCACCCGAAACCGCGAGATCGCGGCTCCCGTCGCGGGGTCCGCGTCCGACTTCGGAGAGTCCGGGACCGCGGTCGAAATCCCGGAAAAAAAAAAATTTTTTTCGCGCCCTCCCCCACCCCCACCCGAAACCGCGATATCGCGGCTCCCGTCGCGGGGCCCCCGTCCGACTTCGGAGAGTCCGGGACCGCGGTCGAAATCCGGAAAAAAAAAAAAATTTTTTTTCGCGCCCTCCCCCACCCCCACCCGAAACCGCGAGATCGCGGCTCCCGTCGCGGGGTCCGCGTCCGACGTCGGAGAGTCCGGGACCGCGGTCGAAATCCGGAAAAAAAAAAAAAATTTTTTTCGCGCCCTCCCCCACCCCCACCCGAAACCGCGAGATCGCGGCTCCCGTCGCGGGGTCCGCGTCCGACGTCGGAGAGTCCGGGACCGCGGTCGAAATCCCGAAAAAAAAAAAAAAAATTTTTTTCGCGCCCTCCCCCACCCCCACCCGAAACCGCGAGATCGCGGCTCCCGTCGCGGGGTCCGCGTCCGACGTCGGAGAGTCCGGGACCGCGGTCGAAATCCCGAAAAAAAAAAAAAAAATTTTTTTCACCCGAAAATTTTTCAAAGTTTTTTGAGACAAGGGGGCTCGGATTCGGCTCTGATGAAAACGTCCAATGTTAATCAAATGCACTCTTATGGGATTTCAATTCCAGTTTTCCACTGCTCTGTTCTTACATGGTAGTCGACTGAGCGATGGCCGAGATCGGTCGTCCGGCGGTCGAGTCGCGTGAAACCGATTCGATCGTTTCGGGCGAAACCGATCCTTGTTCGGCCGGATAAAAATGTACGTAACGTTGATTCGTGATATATATGTACGTACTTTTAATGTATCGACGACGATACGCGGCGCGCATCAATTTTCAAACCGCGCGAAAATTTTGACGATTTCTTTTCGAAGCGGACGAATCGATTTCTCCGACTCGCTCGCTCAAACGAGCGAGAGCGGAGAAAACGTTTTCGATCGCGACTTCGAGCATTTGAAAATCCGGCGAGGGAGAGAATGTTCCGAGCCGTCGAAGCGACTTGCTCGCAAAAGATTCGACGATCGCACGAATGATTTTTTCACATTCTCGCACGCGCGCTCCGATGAAATCGTTTTCGCGACGGATTCGAGCGTGCGATCGCAACGCGATAAGGCGACGACGAGGAGAGAGCGCTCTTCGCTCGCGGAGAGCGCTTCTCGCGGAAGAAAAAATCTTCGTATAAAAATGCTGCGTGCGTCGTTCGCGATTCGATTTCTGCGTCGGGCGTGAATTTTTATTTTTACTAAAATAAAAATTGAAAAACACGCGGGGGCGACGACGACGCGAGAAAAAGATGATCGGACGACGAATCGATGCGCACATCCCTGGTTGATCCTGCCAGTAGTCATATGCTTGTTTCAAAGATTAAGCCATGCATGTCTCAGTGCAAGCCGAATTAAGGTGAAACCGCGAAAGGCTCATTAAATCAGCTATGATTCAATTGATGGTACGATCACGGTTACTTGGATAACTGTGGCAATTCTAGAGCTAATACATGCCAAACGAGTTCCGACCGCGGGTTCGAACGATCTCGCGGAACGAATGCTTTTATTAGAACAAAACCAATCGGATCTCGTTCGAACGAACGAGATCCGCAAATCTATGACGAATCTGAATAACTTTGAGCTGATCGCACGGTCCATAGAACCGGCGACGCATCTTTCAAATGTCTGACTTATCAACTTTCGATGGTAGGCTACGCGCCTACCATGGTGATAACGGGTGACGGGGAATCAGGGTTCGATACCGGAGAGGGAGCCTGAGAAACGGCTACCACATCCAAGGAAGGCAGCAGGCGCGCAAATTACCCACTCCCGGCACGGGGAGGTAGTGACGAAAAATAACGATGCAGGACTCTTTTCGAGGCTCTGCAATCGGAATGAGAACACTCTAAATCATTTAACGAGTATCCATTGGAGGGCAAGTCTGGTGCCAGCAGCCGCGGTAATTCCAGCTCCAATAGCGTATATTAAAGTTGCTGCGGATAAAAAGCTCGTAGTTTGATTTGTGTTCCGAGCAGTCGGTACGCCGTTCGTCGGCGGTCAACTGACTCGCGGCGGAACGTCCTGCCGGTTGACGGAGCGAGTCGTCGCCGCCTCGAGTGGTCGGAGGGAAGAGCGCCCGATCTTCGGATCGTGGCGCGCTTCGCGTCCGACGACGTTTCTGCGTCCGTCAGTCTTAGAAAATCCCGTCGCGGCGCTCTTAACCGAGTGACGCGCCGGGCCGGCACGTTTACTTTGAACAAAACTGAGTGCTTAAAGCAGGCCGAACCCCAGCGCCTGAAAGTCGGATGCATGGAATAATGGAATAGGGCCTCGGTTCTATTTTGTTGGTTTTCGGAATTTCCGAGGCAATGATTAATGGGGACAGGCGGGGGCATTAGTATTGCGGCGTTAGAGGTGAAATTCTTGGATCGTC